ATCCCGCGGGCCGTATTGGACACCATAGTGGGCCGTATTCGGCCCGTGGGCCGTGAGTTTGACACCCCTGATTTAGACAATGATAGACAGTAACAGTACATTTAAAAATAAAGATTTCTTATTAATTATTTTAATATTAATAATAAACCAATTAATACATTAAATTATAATAATATCGTCGTGCTCTGCAGCGGGGACTGAACGGAGACAAAGGCGCAGGCGTCAGGGTATCGGAGAATACGGGGTTTAATTACAGGTAAGGCAGGCAAAACGCAGACAGACAATACAATGACCGGACTGGGGAAGCAAACTGAAACGGGGACGAAATACAGAGGACTAATGACAACAACCAGAAACAGCTGATCACACTGGGATTCTACACGGGGTTAACGAGGGGGCGTGGCACACGGAAGGAGCGGACTATCGGGGCAGGACACATTGGGTTTTTTTTAACTTTACACATGCATTGGATGCATTTATTTTCTTACTTTAAAAATTACCGTTTTCATAAATGTGCTTAGATGTGTTTAGTATAGTATATGCTCTTCTTGTTTTGTCCGGTTAATTTTGTGTTTAAATGCTAAAAAAACATATTTAGGTGTATTTTTTGGGGCAGGGAACCAATTAATTGGTTTTCCATTATTTCTTATGGGGGAAATTCGATCAGACCTCGAACTTTTTAGGATTCGGTCCAGAGTTCTGAACGGATTTATTTCGAGTTCTGAGGTACCACTGTATTTTCAAATACCGAACCAGTCCGTTTTACGCATGCGCCACATGTCATACACACAGCGGCGTTTTTCACTTTTCACTGTGAATGATGACGACGCAAAGCTTGCAATTTGCAATACATGTAAAGCAAAGTAAGCCGTGGGGAACCACCACGACAACGTGGTGAAACATCGGAGGTAAACTTTAAACTGATTTTTAAACATATACTAGATAATCTTGAAAAGGAATAATCATTAAAATAGCAAAGTTAGCCAAGGTGTTTTCATATGACATAGTAAAAATGTTTCAGCGAAACTTTAACCCCCTGTGCTATAATGTTAGTACTATATAAAGGTATGAAAAAGCCTTATCTTAATCTAGCTTACTAGCGATGTAAGAAATGTATGTGCATAACATGCGATGTTGATATTAATAATATTACCCTGCACCTATTATTGGAAGAGTATAGTATACTTCAGATTTATTCGGAGATTTGTAACCTATGGTCTTTTTTCGTTTTATGACAAGTAAAAAAGGAGGAAAAGGTCAATGGCATGTTATCTGGTGAATTTAAACACACTGGGAAATGATACAATTAAGTTAATCTCTAAATGCCAGTCCATCAAAGGCTCATACGTACTTTCAGATAATCACACTCATGTGCAATTTAGATACACCAGTTTGTTTAACTGCATGTCTTAGGGCAACAGAAGGAAAGTGTAATATTCAGAGGGAGCCTTTGCAACACGGGGAGAACATACTATACACTGGGCGCAGGGGAGGGATTTGAACCCATAACCCTGGACTAGTGAGCCAACATGCCACCTGTAATATTTACCCTTTAAATTTAATCACTTACTAAAACCCTAAGACCCATTGCATTCTTTCATTCGGTGGTTGCTAACCAGTTGATCATGATCGCTCGACCGTCACAACATTTCTAGTCGATCGCAACACAACTTCAATTCCCTCCCAAACGGCATAATATACTGAAGGGCACATCCCCCCCGCTTTAGATGTATTCTCCATTAGTAGAGTATCGTGCATTATTTCCCTCCATCCATCCTTTCCCTTTCTTACCCTTTCTTCCTATTTCCCTTTCACATTTCATTCCACACATTGCTTATCACCTCCCCTTCCTTCCAGGGGTGTCTATGGCGTCTGTCATTAGAGCTTGCAGCTGTGGGCCGGAGATAAAGATTATCAGAGCACAATTCACGTCCCACTACAATTCTCTAAATAGGCCGACTTAAAAGCTAATTAAAAAATCATTTGTCGGTTGATGATTTTATAATATTGCCTACAATGAGCTCTGTCACATCGTCTTCTCTCAATTCCGGAGAAGGCCGGCGTGAATTTATCAAACAAAGCGGCAGGACGAAAAACAAAATGCAAAGCGCTCGCCGCTAGACGTGAAAGTACCTCATTTACGATAAATACCTTTTGTCTGCGAGCCCTAACGATGACCATTTACTGAAATGGCAGTGTTACATTTTCACATTACTCTGACAAACATGCGGAGCCTGAACAACAAATATTGCTTTTCTGTTTGTGAGGGGATATTTTTTTTTTGATAAATCAACAAAAGGCAAATAGCAAGCTTGTCTGGGAACCTTCCACAAAATTGTATGCATTCTAAATTATTAAAGTATTGCTGGGTGAATAAAAGCAATCCAGTCAGGCCACCAAAGACCGCTGCACAAAAGAAAAGTGAGTCTCTATTAAATGACACTTTTGAACTCTCTATCCTGATTTCTAGAGCTACCAAAACACATTCAAATATACCTATTTCAGGTAATTCATGGAACATGATGTTTTTCATAGTTTTTTAGTGAATGCTCTTTCTCCCTCGCACCTCTACTTTATTTGTGAAATGACCTTACAAATTCACGAGTCTTTGAACTCACCTGTTGGGCCCGTCCAGTATAGAAGTCTCAGCCACAATTTCCAGATTTTGTCCCGATTTGATATAAACAATGCCACATAGATTTGAATTAATCTCACTCCAGTAGAGCACTAATCTATTTAAGAGGCAATTATACATTTCCATCATTGTATACAAGCAAGAGATTTATGCCACCCCCATCCAGATTTCTCTCTCCCTCGTATATGTGTGCACAGGGGTCCAGCTTTTGTTTCTCCATTTTTATGAGTCATAAATATTCAAAATAAATCCCTGCTTATTGGCGTGCATAATTTAAGACTTTATTAAAAGAGCCGGGCACGTTCTTTCGCCCGAGCGCAGTTAACGTGCTCCTTGATAATTCCTGAGGCGGCCCTGAGGAGATACTGCGGCTGTGAACTTCAGACAGGCTGCTAAGGTCACAGAGTTCCAGTTATCAGCTCACAAAGCTAATATACATATTAAGAGGAGGGGGGGGGGGAGATACTGCTTACCGGCTCAGCATCTGACTGGCTGAAGTTCTATGCATACGGTAAGACTGCTAGCTTAGCTCACAGCTGTTGAATCTCTAGGGACTTCTTCTCCAAAAGCGCTGACCCTGTCGAGAAGCCCGGCCAGCAGAAGCGGGGTTGAGCACCTGGTACCAAGTGGCCTGCTTCACGTCAAGGCTCTGGTCAAAAGGTCATCGTTCTCTGGGTCAGCCTCTCCTCATTTTATTAAAGAGAAAGAAACCCACCGCTGATTAGACTAACACTTTTCATTGCAACACAGAAAGAATCTTATTCTATGCATAGATCTAAGATCCATTTACCTGTACTTTCATATCCCACCAGAATGATGGTTTAAGCTAACCATAAATTTTTCCCCTGCAATACAATTTTCTGTGAATTTTCCTAGTTTCTACATTGTATAAATTTTACATACACATTAATTGTACCTATTTTAATTATACTATTCCATTTACAGTAGCTTACTCAACTTGCCTTTAAAATATACCGTAGTTGTACTAAATGTCATGCAATATGTGATAATACAGATGACTAACCAGGCTATAGTGTATCAGTTTAAATTTTTAAATGATGTGCAGTGTCTGTTATCATATGAGTTAATTACAATAGTTTCTTCCTGACAGGGGTGAGCCCCTCACTTCCATATGAAGTACACACTTTAATACAAGACAGATTGAATTTCCTCTCATTCCGAATGCCTACAGAGCGAATGACTAATTGAATAAAGATTGCGTATCTCTCCATCTCATACCCACGTTGCAGGTGTAATTGAATCAAAATCGAGCAAATCTGACCTGCCCCGTACGAATTGAATAGCTTTTTGCTTGTATGATGCATCTATAAAATTCAATAAGGAGCGAGCTGATTCATGAAAACGAAAGCAGTGGAGAGAGCAGATATGTTTGCTGGGGCTGTGCTCTTTCATCTCCTACACTCTTCCATCTCCAACAGGCCAGTAAACACAGGCCTGAAATAAACTAAACGCACGATTAAACTGGATTATCAACCCACGGAAATGTAAAAAAAAACAACGTAATTTACTCTGAAAAGCTCAAATTGATTAAGTGATGGGTTCTTTTCTTCCATACATTATTCAACTGCTTTGCAGTTGTATTTTAATCTAAAGTAACTTACACAGGTTATTTTTCCTGTAATTTATCTAGATCCATTTTTTTTTTATTTTACACTGGAGCAATTAAGGGAAAGTAGCTTTCCTCTAAGGTAATTTAAAGTGCATCTCTCTGATGTACCCTGAGTTGTTAAGCAGGGATCCTTTCTTTGTGTGCAGGCAACTGTTACTGAGCTGATAACCAGATGAACTTGCCTCTGCCTTCTCATTTAATAAGTCACCAGCAAAGGCAAATTTAATAACTTATGAGAATGAGCTGTGACTGGGTATTACATCATTGTTGCTTTCATTGTTGCACCTCAGGTCTTCATGGGGAACAGATTTCTTGAATGAAGCTTAATATGTTCAAGTGACTGTATATTATTCTAATGGGAGAGAAGTGGTTAAATTTTTATTTAATTCACCAATACATGAGCGGAACACTTTAACAGGCTGGTGAATTTACGAGGGGTGGAATGCAATATGTTCAAGTCAATCTATTCTGAGTTAAGGCATGGTGATTTATGCATAGACGTCTAGAAATTTAACCAGCGGGCTAAATGATTACACAAAACTTCCTCTGGGATTCTAGTGTTGACTTCACTTAGCTAGGTGGTCTTATGTTTACCCTCAAAGCATCACATAAAGATCAGATTTAAGAAGTGCATACAAATACCCACAGCTAGTTTGGTGTACCTAATAACATTTTAAACTTGCGTTTCCCTAATACTCCACTCATGCTTTTAATTCCCTCTTTTGAGATCCAGCTGAATGGCTTTCAACTTCCTGTAAATTGAAAGAAATAAGGAAAGTATCTAATTTCATGGAGCTTTCCTGTACCAGTATATCAAACTTTCTACTTAAGTTCCACACTGAATGGTAACTTAATGTTCTCTTTTCGGCAAGAATAAATTCTTAGAAATAGTTCTATCCATCCATCAGCTTTCTACACCCGCTTGTCCTATGCAGGATCGCGGGGGTCTAGACCTTATTTCAGAAGATACAGGCGCAAGGCAAGGATTCACCTAGGATGGAGCGTCACCCCATTGCAAAGAAGTAGGTCTTTAGCTGCTATTTTTAAAAAAACATACAACGTGTCGACCAACAAAATGCCAATTGATGTGGTGGTCAAGTGCGCCTGATTGATTTGCTGTGAGGACCCCTTTTCTGGACCACATACTTGATACATTACACAAACGCATCGATTTCTTTCTCTCCCGAACACTCTACGCTCGCTACTGCAGAGCGAGCCATAACTAGCCCCATGGCACTCTTTGGATGCAGAGCCATTGAAGGTACTTCTCAGACTGCCAGGCCACGTGGCGCCACACGTACCAAGGTTAATTAAGAAACGTTGTGTCATAGCGGTCAATAGTTGTGCTGCCCTCCTGTGAACCGTCCTCTGCAGTTTAGATGTTTACAGTGCCTTGTTATTTGTAAGGCTGTAGTAAATGGATCGATAGATTAGGTGACTGGGCTCAACTGGAAATATGAAGAAAAGAATCTTAATCGATAGCCTTACTGAATCAATCATATAATTCAATATGGTTAAAAAAATCACGTGAATTATTATTATTATTATTAATTTTTTAATCATGGGATTAATCTACGGTTAACCAAGGTAATGACTAAGCAATCAGCCAGTGTAGCAATCAGCCAGTGTAGCAATCAGCCAGT